AACAACAATACCAATAACAACAATACCAATAACAACAATACCAATAACAACAACAACAATACCAATAACAACAATAACAATAACAACAACAACAATAATAATAACAACAATAACAACAACAACAATAACAACAACAACAACAATAACAACAACAACAATAACAACAACAGCAGTAACAACAACAACAATAACAACAACAACAGTAACAACAACAATAATAACAACAACAGTAACAACAACAATAATAACAACAACAACAGTAACAACAACAATAACAAGCAACAACAACAGCAATAAGAGGCTGTCATAAATTAGTTCCCAAATAAATAATTGTCCTTGGTTTATAACGATGAATTGAACTTATTATGTAAATATTGACGTATACCGTGTGTGTCTTGTTTGTTTATCCGCATATTTAACCTTGTTATTCAATATATTGTCATTTAAATATTTACTCCTTATTTCCGCCACTAACAATTGTAGTATGACAAATTAAAAATTTCTATCAGAAAATTTACAGTGTCATATTAAATATCATCTAATTAATTGTCCCCCTACACTTTTGACAGATCTTACAGGGCAATTGAAAATACTTTAATTTATCAATTCAATTAGATCAGTTAGTACCAATGAAAATAACAAAATGCTTTTGTCCAATTACACCTGTTCATTTGGATAAATTATTTGATTGGCATTAACATTTGTGCTTATTCATCAATTTATGACATTTGTACAACATGACCTATTGCTCGATAGGTAATTCATTTTTGTTACATATTACTATTGCTATCTTATCTATAGATAATTTAATATTACAGATAAATCGTGAAATTATATCATGATAATATGGATGAATGGAAAGAAATTCCAGTTGAAAATTTCGAAAAGAATTCAAAATCGTTCTTTAGAATTGTTTTTTTTTTTTTGTTTTTAGATAGAAATTTCGAAAAGTAAATTTACCTGATTGAATTTCAAATTTAATTTTCATATGTTCACTAGCACATAAACCACCGGACCGCCTGTCAATACCATTTTTGGTACCATCTGAGGTGGCTAAAAACAAAACAGTATTCTATCAAATTTCAAGAAAAAAAAAGAAAAAATTAATAGCAACATTCATATTCTCATCCTCTTCAACTGCTTCCAATTTTCATTCAACAAATTTTTTTTTTTTTTTTTAAACAAAATTTCTTCCTTTCTTTTTTCACCAATTACAAAAATTTTATTACATCACATTCAAATCTCTATTATTTCAAAGTTGAAGTATTAAATTTTTGAAGAAAAAAATTTATTTATTTTTTTCAAATTATTAACAGATTAGAAATAAATTTTTACATTTCTCGCATTAATTTTATCAATTTTTTTTTTTACATTTATCAAATTAATTGTATTAATTTGTTATATTTCTCGAATTAATTGATATTAATAAAGAAATGTATCTGAAAAAAATAAATTTCACATTTAGCCAACATTTCATTCTTTTTTGTCTTTTGTTTTCTTTTCAGACAAATCTAAAAATTAACTGAAATTATTGATTCATTTATGAAAGTTTTTTCACACCTTCATTTTTTTTTTTTTGTTTCCGCTAAATTTATGAAGTATACTATTTAAAGTGAAGTGCAGGAATGACCAAAAAAAAAAAAAGAAAAAAAAGATGGACAGGAACGCGGAAATGTCATTCTATTACAGATATCATATATACAATCACCATCTGTGGTTTATTTTCTTTCTCGTTCCAACAACTCATTTATTTGATGAAATGTAAAGAATGAAAGTAAAATGGACATTATCAAGGTCACATGGAATAGAAAGAAACAGAAGAAAAAAAATGATTGATTCCTCTTTCAATATTAGAAAAAAAAAACGATAAAGAAAATTCATTAGTCATTTAATGATACAATGAAAAATATTATTAATCAATTAATAAATTTTCTTTTGCATTTTTATGAATAACGATCAAAAAGTTATTTTTGAAAGCGGAATGGTTCATTTTGATCATCTCAAAAAAAAAAATCAATTTAAAAATTATCTTTATGATTTTCTCTCATTTATTTATTCATATATGTTCCACTTTATTTGCCTAACAATGCTATTGAAAAATCTTTTTTTTTTCTTTGTATTTACCGACAGCACTAAATTAGAGAGAAATGATAGTTTGCGCAATTGATATTTACATCTGATTCTAAGCGTTTCGTATATTTGATGATAACTACATTTTAAATCATTTTCAAATAAAATATACTATTTTGAAAATGATTAAATTAAAATTGTATTATTGAAGATGAGTGTTAGTTCTCTTTTGATTGCACAAATGTCATTTCTATTTCAATTGAGTAATCATTTTAAGTATAAATAGTAATAAATTTTTTTTAATATTAAATTTCACACTATTTTGAAAGTCATAAAACTAACACAAACTATTCAAATCTCATAAAGCCTTTCTCTTTTCTGTTTATGGTTCATTAAAATTTCGATTGCAATTTTAATTTTTTCATAAATATTTTAAACGATTATGAAGTCATATTTTTTTTTAAAATTATATTTTCTTTTTTTCATTTTAATAACTGTCTTTTTTTGTGAATTTTTACACAAAATTATATCATACAAATTCGATTCATTCTTAAATATGTAATCGATTGATTTCATTTATAAGATATTGAAGAAAATTTTATTTTAATCAAAAATTATCGAATTTAATGGATGAACGAATTCTTTTTTGTGCTTTTTAATTCATCTAAAATTATTTCATTCATATTAATATCAAATTTTCATTCTAAAAAATTGTAAAAAAAAAACCCATTATGGGAAGGATTTTTGAAGTGAAAGCTTTTAGTAGCATCACAACTAAAATGATTTAAAAAAAAAAAAAAAAAGAAAAGAAAATTTGATTCGAAGACATTTCATTTCATTTAAATGTCTTCGCAATATGATCGGATGATATATTTCATCTTAGTAATAAGCGCACATTTATCATTTTTAATATCAGTTTTTTTTTTTATGAAACAATTTTCATAAATTATCAAAATTTTGGATAAAAATTTAATGTAACACATAAATTTGATATTTTTTGATTTATTTATTCGCAAATTCATTTGAGAAATATGATCAGCGCGGTAAGATTTAAAGTATAACAAAAAATGTTTCAAAATTTTTGATTTTTTTTCTACAAATATTTAAATGTTTTTTATCATAATTAGAAAAAAAAATTATCATTTACATTCAATTCTTTTTTTTTTTCAGATATATTAAATTGTAACATTTTTGTTTTCATATTAAAATATTTAAGAAAAATTTGCATTAAAAAAAACAGTGCTTATATTTAAATTATACTTTAATTTGATGAAATCTTGAAAATTAAACGAAATTTAAACTTACTAATAAAATAATAGCTGTCGCCTGGCTTAAATTCTAATGCACCGGGAAGTGGGGAGAAATCTCGGAAGACGATACTTATCGATGATTGTTGTCCCGGAGTTTGACATACACCGATCAATCGTTCATCTAATAATTGACAATTCTCGTAACCACTTTGAGATACCTGAAAAATTGAAAATCTAATCCAACGGAAGAAAAATGAAGATTAAACAATCATTTTGTTATTGCTCTGTTTGTGTCTTTTTTTTTCTTGTTTTCTATTTGTTTATTTGTTCGTTATTTTCCAAAAATAAGCAGTAACTATTAAATTAAAGTTTTATCAATCAAACTGAAATTTTAATATGAATGATTTATTTTATTATCCCTGAAAAAACTTATTTCCATTTCAAGTGGAAAAGAAAATGAGATGAAATTTTATTATACCTGATCGTGTTCTCTTTTTACAATCCTTTAATTTTCTACATTTCAAATTTAATAACTGTATAAAATTAAAGGTCAAGGAAGAGGAAATAAAACTGAAACATAAATGTATATGACCTTAAACATTTACACACCTTCTCCTCCTCAATCTTTAGTAATTTAATAAACCAACCAGTGGTTTACACCGGTAGTTTTATTGATGATAACAACCTGAATTGAAATAATTTTATTTGAGAAGTAAATAAAAGAGGAGTAAATGTATCGAAGTAATTAATCCGAGAAATATGCAAAGAAGCAACAAGCCATAATTTTGCCAATTTTTATGAGCTCTTGATCAATTTTATGACATTACTACCAGACAGAT